TAATAATAATAATAATAATAATAATAATAATAATAATGTGTGTGGAAATTCTAAAAGAAAATCCTTAGTGCTTAAATATAAAAGCTGTTTTTACAATTTTTAAATGACAGAGATTTACGGAAAATCGAAACTACGACGTACTTATAAATGCCCTTTCTTCTATACGAGTAAAAAAAATTCAGCCATATTACATAAAATATTGAAAATGTCAAAGGGGCTTAATGATCTCCGGAACAGCACAACTAGATCTTACTCCTGATGTATTTACCATGTTTTAGCTCAAATGCTTCTAATATAAGACCTACGCGTGACTCATCTTACATAAATACAAATTGATTTTGGGACAAAATGGCATCTACTCTCCACCTACAGCATCCTTACCTAGCCTATGTCAGACCTATTTAATCCTGACGTGTGTGCGACGTTACATTCGAAAAGAACCTTAAACACGGAATTTACGACCGATAGTCCACATCACGTCATATAGATGAGATGATTTTGCAGATAATGTAACTAAAGTAAAAAAAGTAATTATTTTCATTATTAGATAAAACAAAGGAATAACATACCTAATGGGGTGTAACCCAAAACAAAACATCCAATAGTAAATATTTTCTTGTTATCTGGTATGTTTTCTTCAAAAAGAAGTTTGTAAGTAGGATATGGCCAGCTTCGGGAGGCACATGTCTCATGAAGTGAAGTTATAGGATCTTTTGGAATTTCGGTATGACACAAACATTCTGCCTTTATTTTCCTAATAAAATGAAGTAAAATTAATCTTAATTGTTGTAATGGTACATGGTAAATTTATTTATCATCAATGATACAAAGAGATAAAGGTACATTTATAACTTCATTTATAATATCAAATCTTCAAAAACATAACTCAGAAAACACTTCATGGTTTAAAGTATCCAATTTATTTGTTATACGGTACAGTTGAAACAAGAATTAAGGTGGAGGGAATAAATCCATTAAGAAGAAGAAAAGAGTCTATATATGGTTCTCGATTTCACTCTACTGCCTGAACAGCTTTCATGTGCGAGTTCATACACAGTTTATGATCTTATGAGTCCATCCTACCCGTTGGGTTGAAGAAGGATTTAAGGGTCGGAATAGTGAGATTGGTAGGGCAACGGGTAGATATGAGTATGCAGTGAGGAAGCAGAAAGGAAATTTCTGAGGAAAGGGGCTGTCGAATTTGAACAGTGAATGAGAGGACGTTGGTACATAATGTTAAATTAATGTCTGTGAAGTAGTGTTCAAGGGAGTTTTTTTTTCTAGAAAATAAATCACCGTTTATTTAAAAGATGATTTATATAATACAAAATTCACATACTTTGGAGGCTCGCCTGGGATTTGAATAAAAAATATTAAAAAGGACCAAGACAAGTTAACGCCGTGTGCAGCGGCATTGGAATTCCTATGCCGACTGGTGAACTAGTAAAAGTTGTATTCCACGGAACGCTGTGCAATGCTTCGTATTTACCAGTACACGTGTGTGGCACTCATCACTTTCGAAATGAACGAAGTTGAACGAAAGAAAAAACGAAAGTGAAGAAAGAACGAACGATGTAATAGGTTAAAAACGTTCAGAAGACGAGGGTCCATGAGACTTGTGGGGCTGCAGGAAGTTTCGTCATAACTTGAAATGCCGGCGACCGGAAGAAATGTCAATTCGAGTCAACACTGAAACAGTTTATTGTAAAAATATCAATTAAAACCGATGTCCAACAAGAAGAAGCTGAAGCAGCGGAAGTAGAAAACTTGGAGTAAGACGGAGTAAGAAGTAAGAAGGAGTGTGTTTGACAATCTAGCGTGGAGATTGCAGAATGAGCACCCGGTCAAATGAAGATGAAATATTTTCGTATGAAATATTTTCAATAATCAAAGTGGATGAGATAAAAAAGTTTTAACTTTTGAAATTTTTAAAAATTTCGGTATTTTAAAATAATTTTTGCCTGCATTATTTTTGTAAATATATTTTGCCTTCTATTATAGCGAGAAACTTAAAAGAAACTAGTGGTGCTAAATCAGCAATATACTTTCTCGCATTATTTATAACGTTTGTAATTTTTGAATATTCAGAGTTCAATGAAAATGGGACCCGCGCCATTCTTTTGGGCGTCCCTTGTTCTATCCGTGGAAAAAATGTAAAGAAAAAACTTAGAGTCGTTATCGGCAGAAGTTTTTTATAAGCAGCATAAGAGCGAGGCGAGGGAGGGGCGGAGCGGGATGGGGCGGAGCGGGGCGGCTAGAAAGAAGCGTGTGGCAAACAGAGCGGGCAGGGCCTGCGGGGCTGGGCGGAAGGAGTGCAAGGTAACTTTGATGAAAATATGATAAATATAGGAAACGTCGGGTAATAAGTTAGTTGTAAATGAAATCTAGAGAAAGTTAACCTATGGGAACTCACAAAATTCATTTGATGAATATTTCAAATATGTTTTCAATGATGATTTAATCTTGTTACAAGTTACTCAAATGAATGCCAATTCTGAAAGTGACTACTTACTCCCTGGACGGATTCTCTTTGAGATTGAAAACTGGAAGCGAATCTTCTAGGTATTCTCTTATTTTTAATAGAAGTGCTGTTGAAGCTGCATGTTTTGCTTCTTTTTTGGTGTAACCAGTACCTAAAGATAAGAACAACACAAGAAAAAAGTTCGCATTTAATTTAATAATATATGTACATATTATGGGATTTAATATTATTAGGTTATCGTGAAAAACTTGATTTCAATGACAGCAAACGAATGTTAGTTTTGTTAAATGTTAGTCAATGTAACGGCATCTTCACCAAAGAAATAGAATTTAAATTGGCTAAATGAGTAAATTACGAAGTAAATGAGATTTATTTGTATTTTTCAACGGATTTTTGGCTTAGGTAGCGCCCATTGTATTCCACAATTTATTTTCTGATCATAAAACATTAGTGACTTGACTGAAACAGTGTGCCATGTTAGTCGTAATATGGCTAATTTTATGATAAAATCACAGACACTTCAAATGGCCATGGCTTCGTGATTAATTATATGTATCCAAAATACTTTTAATTTATATAAAATTAAAGCTTGAAATCTCTTCGAGAAAACTGATACGACATTTTAACAATTTCCCTGCTGACTAACGATTGAGCCGTGCAGTGCAGTCGGTCTCATAACTGTTACCGACTCACATTTGAGTCACGCTGCCGTTTCTGATTTCTTTATCCACTGTTAGCCTGGGTTTGAAAACTACTAGACTTTAGGAAACACTGTGCTGCGTTTGTAAGCCCCTAAGCCAGTATTTCCCTGTTCGCTTCGAGCGTGCGGCGCGCCGCGGCGGTGCCCCGCTCTTTCGAGCCCAACGACCAGCCGCGCGCCTCCCGCGAATCCCCCACGACCCCATCTCTCATCTGCATCATGGCCAAGAAAATTTACAGCGTTGCAATGGCCCGAAACAGCCCTCACGAACTCAATCCATTTTAATCAGTGTTAATCGTAGATAGGTGGTCCAGCCTAGGACCTTACATCACCCACACTGTCGACTAGCAGTGTGCTACGAGTAAAATAGTCGTACAGAAGACCAATCAAATTATATCGTCTGTACTCCACAAAGAATGCAACCAGTCGTCCATCTGTGTTTAATCTCGGGAGGATGCTGTGCCCCAGCTATAACATATTTTCGAGTGCTCAGATTTAGATATAAGCATCCAATATCAATACTTTATATGCAAAAAAAGGTTAATCGAGGACTTCTTTAAACTTAGTTCATAGGTATCTCACATTCTACTCAGATTAAAAAACTACAAACTACAAAATAAGTTATAAAACATTGTAGATGCCAATGGTTTAATTCAATATTCTATATGCAGTTTAATTACCACAAAAATATGTTATCACAAATTAAGATTAAAGACACAATTTATGAAAAGCAAATAATGGGAAAACCTTGTGCAACTAGTTCAAATAATAAGTGCACATCTACAGAATTATCTAAAACAATTCTCATAACAAAGGTGTATAATTAAACACATTACCTAATTCAGTGTGACCCAGTAGAGAACAACCTACAGTGAAAAGTTTCAAGGTTCCAGAACCTGATTCAGGAAGATATTCATAAACTGGTAGTGACCAGTTATATGACATACATAGTTCATTCAGTAGACTTGTAGCATTCTTGGATATTTTATATTTTTGTGAAGACTCGCATTCCTTGCCACTGAAACAGATGGAAGAGGGAGTAGACAGTACTTATAAATACCACGAGCTACATTTCAGTTGTACATTATAATAACAAAATATGAAAAATAAAATAATAATGTATTTGTGCACCATGTTGCAAAATTTCAGAAAAAACACATGAATGGACCAGTAAGAGTTTATATACTTAATGCACTTTTAAGATACAGCTAATTCAATAGATGTTTGATAGACACCTATAAACCAGCGCAGAGATTAGCAAATTAGAATTTATCTTTAAATTGGTTGACTTGTTTATTTAATATGATTGATTAGTATGGCTTGACGGTGAATCTAAGATCATTGGCATTCATAACAACTTAAACATAACATCCGCTAAAAATTATTCATTTCGAAACATTCTACAGATTTGATTAATCGAAGTTTAAAATTAAAAACTGAAAATGCTTCAAAATTTCACAAAGTTTCTAGTACAAGTTGGTTTCCCTTTTGAGTCAAGGCAAAATGTTTTGGTTTTTCTTGCCGGCTGACGCCTGTCGCTATCTAAGGGTTCTACCAGGTCCTCCTGCCGTTCTCTTGGGGACACTTCAAGCTCCAGCCAAGAAAAGCTCTCGTGTGCTTTCTTTGCTTCACACGACATAATCAAATAGAGGCTTCGTCGGTCTATCAGAATATTTGCAAAAAAACTTTCTAGATGAACATGCCGTTCATTAATTATCCAAATTCCGTGTGGAATAGGGCAGAGGGAGTGTGTGTTAACCATACGATGGATATTTTAAGTCCGTGGTCCAATCCAATATGGAACCCAAAGAAGGCGCCTCATTGGCCTCCCAAGGTTGCCACGGGGCAGGGCGTCTTCCCCGCCGCGCTCCCTTCAATCTCTCTGGAGCTCAGTCGCAGGACTGCTCTAAGACTGGTGCTCGGGAGTGGGTTAGCTCCCGACGGCCAGTCTAGAGGAAGGAACTTAGAGCATTCTCGGTCGAAGGGCTGGCCGCCATGATTGGTGGCGACATAGTTGGTTCTAGGAACCCGGCGGGCTCTCCAAAAGGTCAAGCGGAAATACTAATAATCGTTACAGCGTTTGGTGCCCGTAATCACTCACTCATACCCTCCCAGCAGTGGCGTCCAGAACGGGGCAGCAGTTGGAACAACTTTCTCCAGCATCGTCTGGGCACTCTTTTTTTATTATTATTTAATATTATTATTTTCTATTTCTTCTTTTTTATTATTTAATAATTATTTTCTTTGTGTTATTTTCATGGAAATATAAGTAAGGCATAATATAATCTACAATTACTAAAATTATGCAATTTTCAAGTGTCATAAACCGTCATATTTTGTTTTATTAACACTTCTATAGTTTTCAGTTAATTTTCTATATTATAATTATTTTCCTACAGTAATTTACGTAATTTTTGTCATTTTTATCCCATTTTCGCATTCGTGCTTGCAGTAGACTCAAAGAGATTTTCCATATCTTCAAATTTGTATCTATTTTGTATCTTCAAATTTGTATCTATTGTATCAAATTTGTCTTACAATTATTATATCTAATTGTTGTCTGTCTTTCCTTTTCGTAAATACACATGTGAGTGAGTATGGTAAGCGAAACAGAAGCAGAAAAAGAAAGAGTAAAAAGCACCACTTGTAAAGGAAATGTTAGTTTACTTTTGTCATTTTTTGCCGAGGTCAACCGCCTCTATAAATAACTCAAGCAGGTAGAACTGTCTGCAAGGTTCGCCAAAGAAGAAGGGATATATTGTGAATGTGCTATATTTTAAAAATACATTTTCAATATAATGGTTACTTAAACAGCAAAAAGATTTTGAGTTTCGAAAATGCAACCAAAAAATGTTAAGTCATTTATGGTCATATCTTCATTATTTTACGTCATAAATGTTTGCATATTCTTAATATTTTAGGACATAACATCTGGACCCTACGTATGAAGGCTTCAAGCCCACAGCCTTCGTGTCCGCGTACTTGAGATGACGGCGCAGTGGCTTTGGACAGGCTTCTGTGCCATCGGGCTTGCTATATAGCATTGTTGATTTTTAATTTGAATATCTGAAAATCTAAATATGAAGATATTCTCACGTATCGTCGTGTACTATAATTTTCCAAAAAGGTCCATTCGTAAATTGAGGCAGTTACAAGCAAAGTGGGCCAACCCTCATTTTTATCAGACTCTGATAAGCCTTCCCCACTAAAGACAGAAAGGTCACCCGTACCAACCAGTCTGAGTCATGTCAGGTCTTTGGCATGTGTCTGCGCTATGCCACACTGCTTCTAACCATCACAATTGTCAGAAGTTAGGTCAGCCAAAAAATCAAGTGTATCAAGTCACCTCTTGGTTTTGAGGTCATGATGTACGTAGTAATTGTAGATGTACGACTATAATTAAAATATTAAAGTGCACTCACCGATCTTCAAAAGAATTTGTAGTGCATGACGATGTGGGGTTGGAAGACATATCACCTAATATTTTATCAAGTAATGCAACAGAAGCTGCATGTTTTGCCTCCTTCTTGGTGTGGCCTTTACCTTCAGCTGCAAAATAATGTGATGCCTCATCTAAAAGATCACACAAACATAATTGGCTCCCAGAACCTTCATCAGATTCATCAACTTACAGGAAGGTACAAATGGGCAATGGTTCATTTCTGTTAGACTTAATATTCTATATCTTTTCGCAAGTATAATGAATAAAACCTATCCAAAATTGTAACAATTCTTGCACTCTGTGATGAACTTTCGTTCAGACTTCAAGTTTCACACGTAGTGTTAAAATGTATTTATTGTAGAAGCTCACCTAGTTCCTGAAAACCTGGCATTGTGCACCCGATTCTATAGAGCCTATTGTGAACTGGACCTTCCATGGAAAGTAATCCATAAACTGGAAGGGGCCACCTACGGGCATAACACATTTTGTACAGCTCACTTGTAGCATTCCCTGCACCTCCATCTTCTGAAGGACACTCTGTTTCAGATTCTCTGAAAAGAATAGCTTCAATGAACTCCTTTATTTTCTATCAGCCAATAAAATAAAGCACAAATCTGTTAATAAAATGACTCCTGTCTCACAAAATGTAAGCATATTAAAAGATTCACTTTACTAATGTATTAGGGTTTATAAGGAAATAAATTATATTCAAAACTTGACAAATGTCTACTTCTTTTATTTTTTAAACTTTTATTATTCTCACATTTGAAAATAATAAAAGTGAAACTTAAGTCTAAGAACTTGTTTAAGACAAACAAAATAAAAGTTCAGGATCCAAGTATATAACACGAACAAATCTGTAATGCCTTTCAATCAATGTCAATGAAAATCAGATTTCTACTCTTACAGTGTTTGATGATCATTTCTATCATGAAAAAGTTTGGTTCATGAAGGTGCAAAATTATCAAAAGTTGGTCAAAGCACTTTTCAAGTTATTTCTTAATATATTTGATTATGTCTCATTTAAAGACTTAATTGGGATCACCCCAATAAAATATGGATGGTTTTATAAGATATGAATATCTGAAATATTACTTCAAAGATCTCTAGAAAGAAAAAACAGTTTCCTTAAAAGAAAGAATATGTAAAAGAACGTTTTCTATTGTACACAATCTTTTCAATAAGTATTTATATTTACACTAATGATTAATAATTGACACCAAGCAAGTTAGTAAACAAAGTTAGTCTACAAAATTTCCAATATAATGTGGCGTTTGAGAAAAAATATTTGTGTTATGAGACACAAACAAAAATTAAACAATCTAAAAGCTTTCACACAAGCAATTTTGTTGGATTTTGTTTAAATTACATCTTGATGAAGGACTTAATATTCAAATCCAAAGTTCATTTTTACTCTCTCGAATACTACACTCTTAACACTAACAGGTTTTTATGCTTTATCCTGTTATCAGTTTACTATCGTTTATCCGTTTACGAATGTATTTCCGATGCTGCAAAATCGGTGTAAGAAAGGGGAGCATAACAGGCAGTTCAGTCAAATAAAAGAAAATGAGAGAAATTTTGAAGAACTTTTAAAATTTTGTTTCTACCCGTTTTGAGGGATGCTGAACACAAATATACGGTGTGCCAATAAAATTTCGCCTGGAAACCCTTTTTTAAAAAAAATATGTAAAACACCACGTTTCAAGTTTCTCCTTCAAATTAAGTGAAAAGCAGTCTATTATTTGTAAATCCTACGTGAAATAAAAACAGATAAAATTACCCATATTTAATGCCATTAAGATTTTCCTTCAATTAACTGTTTAGCCGTGATAGCACTGCGAATATTGGTGAAATATACAAAGCATGTGAAAACGTTAATCGTCCCACATTATCTCAAGATAATTTAAAAAATATTAACCTGACATAAAATGAAAGATCATAAAATTGTCTACGTTTTCTATGTTATTTTTTTTCGCCGTTAGTGTGCAAAATGTGCCTGGATGTTATTGCGAAAATGGTTCTGCACTTAACCTCCCTCTCACTATCTCTTATCACAAAGAAAAAAATATTGCGAAAAATTATAGTATGAACTTTAGTTAGGGTTGGAGAAACCCATACATTGGAATAGGATTTTTTTCGAGGTATGTTAAAAGAAATGGTTCAATATATTTCGCCTCGAGTGTAAGAAACTTTCTATAATAAGTTATTTTAATTCATTTTGTGTTTTTTATCCTATTGTATTGTTCGATGATAAAGTATTTTGGCATAAAATGAGTTGGAAATTGCTTTGGGCAGTCTCAAGAACATTTAATGGTTATCGTGTAAGCTATAGGCGGAAGATCAGAACCTCGACATGAACTCGGACACACGTAGCCAAGTATTAACTGCGACCTAAAATTATTAGCTACGAACGACTATATTCTGCGACGGATTCATATTATCGTTCTCCCTTTTCATGGGGAAAAATAAGGGATAAGACCCGAAATGTCTTGTTTGAAGGCAAATTATGTCATTCTGATGACAATTCGGAAAATCATTGTAATCTTTAGGTGACATTATTAGTGAGATTATTTTAAAGTACAGAAAATACTGAACTAATATAACACTTACTTATCAAAAATATACATGTGGGAGTAAATTATTTCTGCATATTTTCCAAGATCTTCATTCTCATTGAGTTTTTCAAGAAGTGCCATTGATGCAGATCGTTTCGCTTTTCTTTTGCTCAAACCCACCCCACTTGCTGAAATAAATCACAAAATAAAGAACAATTCAGTTTCCTGAAAATGCATCGTAACATTAACAATATGGACATAAAATATTGGTAGTAACGCCGAAGAGAGCATGATAGAGAAGCTAGATTGTTACGAAACTGACCAGAGCATTATTTCTAATCAAACCAGACCTATGAGGACGTAGGGTTAGAGCGGGAGTACTTTCAGACTGGTAGGTCTGGTGGCAGCTCCATTTTCACCGTTCGACGAGTTCCGAGCGGCCGCTCGCCGAATCCCGAGGAGTCTGGACGGGCTGCTCGTTGTTTGCCGAGCGCCAAACAGTGCCTGTTCACTATTCGCTTTTTTGACTCACTATACGGAACGAACATTCCCCGAAAACGTCGGGATTGGGCGAGCCGTCGTTCGCTATTCCACGAATGCTACGCGGGGTATCGCCTTCAGAGAAATGAAATTCTCGAATTGGTCAGATGTTTTCACTTTTTAATCTCAATGGCGATCAAATTTCAATTTTCACAGATTGTTTAATTTTTTCAAGAAGCCAATCACAATTAGATGAAATCTTCGAAATACATTTGGGCAAATCTAATAATTATTTTTGTAACTCTAGTCTTTTTAATGACAAAGATTTTTAAATTACAAATATTACTACATGTTAACCAATGTGCGTCCATTTGCAACCTAAAATAATGGCCACCCGTGCGACTCCAGTGAACATTACTATGCCGGCGGCAAAAGCCGGAAGCCCTCGGGCTTTTCGATCATTAGACCCCTTATTATTCCGTTTTGCTTAAATAACTATTGCTCTCTTGCATCATACCTTTGTGTTTTAAAACTTTACATTCCAAAGTGAAAACATGTCTTGTTGCTGTAACATCTTCACTTATTACAACATACGTTGGAGAAGGCCACTTAAGATCTGAACAAATCTGATGCAGCAATGTTACAGGATGCCGCAGAACATTGTCAGGAGATTGAGAAATCACTTGTCTGCAAACAATATTTTCATCATAAATCACAGTTGTGAAATTCAAACGGTCTTCAATATGTTCTTATATATGTTCAGTTGTTTATTTAAAGAATTATACAGGATGTTTATAAATAAACTTTCTCTACTTATCAGTCTCTATTTGCAAAATGAATGATCGCACGCACAGGAATCAGCTTGAACATTATCAAGGACATGGGAAAGAGAAATAATGAATAATTAAATCCATCATAATGATTAGTTTCTGTGGGCATAAATAGTACGTAAGATAAAAAAATGAGGTTGTCATGGTGCTCATTAGAGTTCATGCTACGACAGTGGATTGAAAAGTCCGTGACTTTTTAAAAAAGAAAATATATTTTTTTACAAAATTCAACTTCATTTCTCAACATAGTTTCCTTTTAACCCAACTCCTTTTAACCTTCCCCAACGTTTTTCTAATTTTTTTTAAGCTTTCCAAAAAATATGACTTTTCAAAGTCTGCAAAATATTGATTTGTTGCTTCCATGATGTCTTCATTGGACATGAATTGCTTCCCACGGAGCATTTCACCAGGTTTCTGAAAAGAAAAAAAGTTAGTTGGAGCCAAATCTGGGGAATAGGGTGGGTGAGGTAAAAGTTCGAAGCGCAAGTCCGCAAATTTTGCCATGGCAACAGCAGACTTGTGCGCGGGCGCATTGTCTTGGTGAAAGAGAATATTTTTCTTCGCCAGATGCGGTCGTTTCTTCAACAATTCCTTGTGAAAACGATCCATTAATGCGGCGTAATATAAACCTGTTATTGTTTTGTTCTTTTCCAGATAGTCAATTAATATTACACCTTGCGAATCCCAGAAAAGAGTCGCCATGGCTTTTCCTGCCGACGAAACTCTTTTCGCCTTCTTTGGAGCACGTTCGTGGGGGCAAATCCACTGCTTGGATTGTTGTTTGGTCTCGAGTTGAAAACAATGGATCCACGTTTCATCAACTGTTACATAACGCCTCAAAAACTCATTTGGATTACGATTGAACATGTTCAAACACTCCTGTGAAATGGTCACACGATTTCGCTTGTTGTCAATCGTGAGCAGTCGCGGCACCCATCTTGCCGACAGCTTTCTCATATCCAAATGTTCGTGTAGAATATAGCTCACTCGTTCATACGAAATGTTCACAATCTCAACTATCTCCCTTACTTTAATTAGGCGGTCTTCCATCACAATATCGTGAATTCTGTTCACCATTTCTTCATTTGTGACCTCAAACGGCCGTCCTGGACGCTCTGCATCACTTGTGCTCAAACGACCATCGAAATTCTGTGAATCACTTGTGGACCGTACCATATGACGGTCTACCAGTCTACCCATAATACTTTCTCAACTTCTCTTCCGTCTCCTTTAAAGTTTTCTCACGCAAGACGTAGTGCTTGATCAACACTCGAAATTCACTTTTCTCACGTTTCCCAAACTCTCACCTTCTGCTTTCGAACCCTCTCAACAATGATCTAACGAGTAGACGGCAACAATATCATGCAAGGTTTCCTAAAAGGGATGTAAGACTTCAGTGCCAACAAAGAGCCTGCTAGGACGCGTACTATTGTAAAAGTCACGGACTTATCAATCTTCCTCCGTAGCCCGTAAGCGTAGGATAAGACGCTTCCCAGCTGCACGCATATGCGTGGGATGCCTGATGCCTCTCCGGATTTGCTTCTCTTCTTGTGAGATCGGTCTCCTGATAATCTTCAGGCAACCCTATTCTAATAGACACTGTAACACGAAAATACATGGGAAGCTTGACCCTCAATCTAGACATTATTCCTCCTGAAGTTTGTACCATTACTATAAATTCCTGTTTAAAGAGTTATGTAGAGTACGTTTACCTGTAAATCATCCTGTGCATAAATTATTTTCTCTATAATATAATACGAATGTTAAAAAGTTATAGAGTAAAATGAAACAACAGGAAAATTATATTACTCACACTTCAGAAACTAAATTATTTGACTGCACAGATGGCGTGTAGTCTCCACTATTTCCTATGTCTATTTCAGTCAATAGTGACCACATAGCCACATGATTGTTTTCAGTTTTAGGATGATCACTCCCAAAAACTACAATGGAAAACAGGAAAATATCAAACTTTAGAAAGGAAGAACAGATATCGGTATTGAATTACAATCACATATAATATAATAATAATAATAATAATAATAATAATAATAATAATAATAATAATAATAATGATAATAAATAATAATAATAATAATAATTTAGGTGAAAATTCGATTTTTTTTAAATTTAGGATAAATTTAATTATGATCAAGAGGTATCCTGTAACTCTATTATTCATATTAAAGGAGAAAGAAATTTAATTCAGTCCAAATATTCGAGGTTAACATTTCAGAGGTAATAACAATTTCAGGGATCATGAGACAAAACACTTATGAATGAATGATTCCACATAACTCGAGCACATTAGAAACTTTCGAGGTCTAATTTAATACACGTGTCAGGCTAAATGTTTAAAACAACCCTTCGAAATAACTTTAAGAAAAATTCCTGTGGAAGAGTTACACCCAGTTTTGTACAAAAAACATTGCAAAAATCACAAAATTTCCCTCTGCAGCTTAAAATGAGAACAGTCCGATATGGTCCACCTGTGCTCAGTATTCCCCTAACTCAATCTTATATCAATGCGACATATGGGAAAACTGATGGGGAAAAATACTACGCCTTCAATGAAAAGTGATAGAAAACATTTTTACATCCTCGTATACGAACTACGTATATTTAACGGAGTACTATACGTACCATAGAGAAATTTCAGTAATGCTACGGAAAATCGATTTCGAGATTTCAAGGAAAATACACTTTTGGGGTCCCCTGATACCGAAAAATGGTTGTATTTTTCTTTCAAAACGTCCGTCCGTCTGTGAACACCCCTAGCGCCTAAACCAGGCGTAGGATATGATTTCAAATTGAAGAAACCCCTGTCCAACTGGCTGGAGGCAAGCTTTGAGATTTTGAAAAACATACTTTAAAATTTTGGGTACTTTACATGAAGCCCCCCAGACATTCTCAAAATTTTCTCAGAAATAGCCCCAAAATGTTTCTTTAACTTTCTTTTAACTTCTCTGAATTTTTGGATATTGTAAAACTTTTTCGGTGTCTTCCTACAACTACAAAATTGAAGATTAAGAGTTTTCCTTCAAATGAAATTTGATGGCCATAATTATTCTATCATTAAGATTATATACATTTTTTTTTAACTTTCGGTAGTTTTTGCGTAATATTGCGAGAAATATTTGCGATTTTAAAGAATTTCAAAAATAAGATTTTCTCAAAAGGCTTCAAAGTTTTTCTTTAAATTTTTGATAGCGATAGTGCTACACACTATATTGCTCTAATCTTTTTTTTTTTCAAAAATGACAAAAAGATTTTTTTTACTTGTCGCACGTATTTATATTTACATTAGCAGCTATTTGTTCCCACAATTGTACTTATGAGCACATGTGCTTTAAATAAATTTAAACAACTGTTATGAGATTATTCGTGCATAAGACACAGTAAAATTATTTTTTTTTTCGAAAATATTTTGAATTTGATGCCGAGAAAATATCAAGTAATTTTTTTGATAGTGTAAATTATTTTATTTTTAATTTTGTACAATAAAATAAAAAAATGTTGTCGATAAAAATCAAAATAAATACTCTTTCGGATGCAGAGGGTTATGCGCGGTTGAAGGAGGGTAAGAAACCTTATTTCTATGCGGGTGTCATAGTTTAACTACTCATATGTCGTTGGGTTTTAGGAAACTTTATTACCGTCTTGCCCGGGAAAACCCTTTGTGCACTGACGGAACCGGGATGCTTTTTACGAGTCCTGTATTGCTAGTGGTGGATTTACCGTTAAACTAAATTAATAAACAAAATGGCAAATTTGCTAAAAAGATTTACGAAAATATACAAATTTATGAGTAGTATAATTTTGCAAATGGACGATTCTTATTCATTTTTAAATTTAAAATTTTAAAGAAATTATTTGAAGGTATGATTTAATTGTTTAATTTTGAATAAATACGTTTAAACCTCCAATCTCAAAAATGTTATTGTCGACAGTGAAAGGGGGGGCTCAGAAATATATTAACTTGGGCATCGAAAATGGTAAACCCGCCGCGTATGGCGCATGCGGCCCCGCAATCGCGTCCAATTTCAGGTCGTCAGGCCCTGAACCTGCCAGACGGCCGACGGCACTAGCACAATCGCTGCACGCAAATGATGCTGACGATCTTTCGTCTACAGGAGATGCGCTTTGCGTCCTGGAACTTCCCACAGTTTATTTTACGTCGAAAGCAATTAAAGGCTTTGTGTGAAGTACTGCGGAGAGAAGTGTATTCTGTGCACCTTCTGGTGACATTCACGGTGCGACAAAATTGAAAAATCATAAACAATCACTTTCTGCGGAATCCAATGCTTCCGAATATCTGAAGGAACTACGAAACCAAAAGACTTATTTATGTATATCAGGTGGAAAACGTTGGTATGCTTTTTACCACTAGGAAAGCGTATCCTGTCTATACTGATATTTATGAAGGGATTGGGGCTGTAACAATATGTAACACACGTCAACCAAAATCGGGACATTAACATTTCCTAACATCAGAAGGCTTGCTGTGTCTTATTCGGTTAGTGCCCCACGCACTTCAAATAAGTTCATTACAACTGACCATAAGTCATCAATTGCAATAGCGGTTTCGAGGTCCAAAAGCTAAAACGTCCTGCAAATGTCTCAGATCAAATTTAAAATACAATTGAAAGCCTCTTACCTGTTCAAATAAGTAGGATTTGAGAAATACAGACTAACAGGTTCTTTAAACATTAATACTTAATTGATATCATTAACCAAAATAAAATTCCTTGCCTGTTAAATGAATTATTTAAAATTCAAAATGTGGACAAACCGCCTCGGCTTCTGTTACAAAGTACACATTGTTCGTTACTCTAAAAAAATTATGCAAGTACTGCAAAAAGTTCTATGTCGAGATTTTGTCAGAAATACAGAATTTTAAATACCCTGATACCGATTTTTTTTTCTTCCTTTCCAAATTGTTTGCCTTCCCTCCGGCTGTGTGATAAACACCAACACCTAAACCGTATAGAACTGAATGAGTAGGCCCCTCAATTTGAAAATAATCTTTTAATTTTAAGCCCATACGACATTCTCAAAATTGGTTTCTATTTTTTATCGAATTGAAGAAAGTACGCTTTAAAAAACAATGCGCTGGTCCACTTTTTATTCAACCTCTAAATTTTCAAAAATTCGAACATTAAAATTTTTTCATCTTCCAACAACTGCATTATTAAAGATAGAAACATTCTTCTGAATTGAATATGTTCTTCAAAATTAAATCCTCAGTTTAATGTCAGCAATAACGTTTTAAAATATCAGTAGTTTTCGTGTTATTTTGGGTAAGCTTGGGTTATTCTTTCTTTTTAATGCATAAACACGATTTTCTCAAATATCGCATTGGTCTGATTGTCATTGAAACTTTTAGAATTCCGAAAATTGCAAACGTGCAATGTTTCTTCGAATCTGTCCTACACCTTCAATATTGAAGCTTTATATTTATTGTTAATAGAATATATGTCTCAATATTAGATCCATTATTTATTTCAGAGCAATATTTATCAAAATATTAATAGTTTTGGCTTAAATGGCGAAAATATTAATTTTTTTCGAACTTGTAGAGCACATGCAATACTGAAGTTATTTGTTTCGTAATTGGTATGTAATATATTCCTTAATATTAGATATTTTCGAAAACATTTACATTAAATAAAAATACATCAATGAAATATGGTCACAATACATACAAGTGTTGTTTTCTCTCAATGCATAATTAATCATTTTTCCGAAGTTCTTTGCCGACATAATCTGCAACAAAACATTACATAAAGTATTCAAATACATGCAGACATAAGAGCACAATATTATAAATAGCATTGTACTTTACAACCTACCTTTGAAAGGTGAGTATTCAAATACAATTACAGACAAAGCTTCAAAAACAATGTGAGAATACTAAATCACATTTATTCTAAGTATTCTTTCATAACCGAGAGTTGTGGAAAGGCCAGAAAGAAGCCACTAAATGCCCTAAGACAATGTCAAGTCGTCTCAGCGACCACGTTCCTCACTGACGTAACGAAGTATACTGCTTTATATTGTTGACTAGTCATTTATTTGGAAGGGTTGCCAATGTAACTGAACCTCACTTGCTACAGTCGAAATAGCACAATATGCCGAACTAAATGCAATGTGTACGCTATGCTAATTGCTTAATACGTCGGCTTTGAGGGCTATCTGACAGTACCGCCAACATCTGAAAGAAGAGTTTTTGAGCCAGACCCGCCATTTTTACATGTATTTGAAATGTTTATTAGCCACGAGGTTTGGTATTTCCTTAACTTTTTTCCTCTGCATTTTTTGGATTGGGTGAACAGGAACCAGTAAATTGTTCTACTTTGCGACAAATTTGCAACAATACTTTTGTCCAATTCATATGTATATTAATAATTTTATAATAAATATTAAAATAATATTTAATTACAAAATAATAAACGATATTCAAAAATATAGTAAAACAAGTAAGAAAAATTATATATTTACACATTTTAGTCTAGGTTATAAGGAGCTGGCCAGTCCTCAGACAAAAAAATTACATTTTTTTAAAATTTACTTATTTTATTGTGTAGGTTTTTTATTTTTATTATTTTTGGTACACAAGTAATATTTTGTAATCTGAGTTCCGGTATTGGCATGTTGCCTAAGTACAATGTAAAATCTATATCTTTATTGAAATGAATGATCATTCTTATTCTTATGTGATTCTTAACAAATAATTGTCGGCTTTACTTTGAAAAGACACAATATTATCTTGTTAATACTTCGATTAAAAAATTAAGTCCGTTGCCACTTGATCAGCAGCGACACTGTCATCCAATCGGGAGCTTGAACGTCACCGTAGGATGACAGCATCAGCGCTGACGCGTGTCAACGGACTTCAATGTTTTAATCGAAATATACTCTGTCAGAATTCCCTCTTCATCTGCACAAAATTTCGTTATTTCTCTCCAGCGAGAGGTTTTACTTTTATATTAAAATGTATAATTGCAATTACACCACCCTCCGATCACTGCTCAAGACTTTTTTCTTTAATTCATTCAATCATTTTCAGAACATTCAACCGCTGTTCACACTACTTTTCTCTGTAGACACACTTCACACTACATCAATTTCTTCAACTTTCAGTTCCACATTAAACTTTTTAGATACTTTCTGTAAAACTTTGACCTACTATATTTACACTTATTTTCTATATGCCCAACCTTCATGAGTTTCCATTCATATTACTGGCATTTCTTGCATTTCTCCAATGATGTTTAAGTAATGAATCATATACTTCATTGCATTTGTCACATCTCCATTTCCCCATTTCTAGTATTATGTAACTATGCTTCCTTCTTTAAGTTATCTCATTAAATGTGTAACTCATTATCACACCATTGACAAATGATAAAATTATTATCATTAGACACTATTTGATCACACTTTCCCCAGAAACTCTCATGTTTCAATCGACTTCTGCATGTAATATTTGAGATATCTTGTTGCTTCATTTTCAATTATTTCTGATTAAAACCCAGCGAAGGGCACCTGGAGAAGGTTTAACACATACTTTCTCACTAGTACACAAACACTTTACATTTAAAATTATTCGCCACTGGCATTCTGGTCTACCACGATTTCCCCATTATACATCCAGCATTGTGAATTTTCGTTCCATTCTCACCACATGTGGTTTTATTTTACATCTCTGATGATGACATTGACCATTCATTTTTTGTTCGTTTCTTTTTGAGATTGACGAAGACTTTATTTTTGATATTGACGCTTCCGATTTGATAATTGCGGCCCAGCTGATCAAATGTCAGAAGTGTCTAAGTTAAATCGGAGAATAGCAGTGAGTACAGATAACGCCATCTTGAATTAACATCTTTCTAAAAGATGTTAGTACGTACGTACGTACACATTATTAGTGTACTTCATGCAGTCTGTAAAAAGGAGACTCATGGTGGAGAGGAATGAACAAAAGCGTCAGCAGCTAATCGGCAACATTTAGCTTCAGCGAAATCTTACGGTCGATGGAAGAACCTTTTAAGGCATCTTCGGCCAATGGACATCGAGCTCATGTGTCAGATCAACGCCATCTAACCTATTTCTTACGCAAGCTCAAGTATTGGTGGGATTAGTGAGGTAACGCGCATCGTTATTTGCCGAAACAAAGCCTAGATAAGTATCTTCGATTGACGTCATGTAGCTGACGCGAAGTATTATGTGCGCACGTTTTCTTGATCCCCGGAATATCTACCCCCACTCCTTTGTTAACATTGGTTAAATAAAAATAAATGATAGAAAAGAGCGTTGTAGACAAAATCTGATAAGCAGAAATATTCGCTCCCATGTAATGTAACTATTTCGCATCGAAAACGAACTATAAATATGACATAGGTTACGTTGACAAAAATAATTTTAACTCCCCAATCCTCTCTCAAATAGCGAAACGAGGTCTCAAGAAAACGTGCGCGGATAATATCCCCGGTTAGTTGCCGACCCCCAACACGCCGCCAACACCGAAATTGATTCTCTTTCTTACATACTTCACAGTGTAGTTCACAAGGTGTACACCAAGTTGCCACTCAACCAAACAAGATCGCGAATCAAAAAAAGTAGCTCCTGCAGGAATGAAACTCGCAATAAAATTTGGATTTTCACTCAATTAAAATTATTTGCTAAATTAGAAACGATATCACCTGATCTAGGTTACTCCTTGGACTTTACGGAGCCATTCTGACTTTAACAATCATTTAATCCATCATTGTTAACTTCTTTTTTTTCAAACTCCTAATTTTATCCAGTATTTTCCATTTTACACCAAAGAGTACTACCCATAGTCGCCCCATGTGATCTCAACTACACCACTTACTGTGACTACACATAGCTCATTGGTCGCCCCAAAGCATAGCTTTCTGCGCATGACATTGAAGCCGCCACAATTGCGTGCGCCGCCTTATTGGTACAACTTCCTGGCGAAAGTTACGCTATAAGCAGGTCGCCTAAAAAACGTTAGTTTTATTTCGTAAGATAGGAAGTATTTGATGTTTTGAGATAGTTAACTGCAAGGATCACAATAAATCACCTCATATTATTTCAGTAGGGTACATACCTTTTGCGGCTCTCACACACAATCAATCTTGATAAATAAGGTCTCTAAAGAAAGAGAATATCACGAGGTGGGGCGCATTGCAGCTTGACTTTAAAAATATGAAGGATTTGTTTAAAAAACATATAAATATACATATCAAATGGAACCCACAAGACTTCTCAGGAGTTTTGAATCTATATGTTAGGAGTTCAATAGCTTCTAAACGACGCGTTTTAGAGCCTATTTCCTACGACGTAATCTACAGGATACGATTCTTTTTGTGAAAAGTTTGTGACATATCCTACAGAATCAGTAACATACAGAATCTGCTACTGTGTTTGATATGAAAGTAATTACTTCATATTCTAGGCGATTAAATTGCACGGATGTACCTCTCAGATCTGAAATAAAGTTAAATAATATTCCAAAGAGTAGGATCAGGGTCGAAGCTTTTGCGAGAGTAGAAAGCTGTTGTAATATATATAATGTAACTATTAAGGAAAGCGAAAAGCTAACTGCCAAGGAAGATCGTATAATTACTTTGTGGCATACCTAAAATAGTCGGAATATTTGGGACAATAAGGGAACTCTCTTCTTATTGGGATTGCACAAC